ACCAATAATCGATCAACTGTTAGAACTTCATCTGTTAAAAGCTTGCCATAATTAATTTTGTTTCCTTCAAGATATTTCATCAAGTCCACTTTGGGTTCCTCCTCATTTTGCTTGCATGGTCTAGCCTGGAACGAATATAATTAATAATACATAATAGAAAATATTCATGTAAAAATTTTTTTGTCTATTTGCAATTTTGATTTCTCTTTACAAAACCAATATGAATTTTTTTATAGTGCAAAAAATTAAAAATATTTTATTTAATTATATATAACAATATACAATTTATAAAACTTAAAAATAAATTCATAAAGATAATTCTATATAAAAGACAATGAATTAAAATGAAATAATCATCAAAGAATATTTAAATGTATTTATAAGATATACATATTATAAATAATTAAATATACAATAGTTATGTTTACAATACACTTATACAATATATACAAAAATTTTTTATATTAATATTTTGTAACTCAAAATAGGGCTATTGTCCATTTCCTTCAAAAATGTTCTTGACTATCACAGTTTTCAGTGGTTCAGTGTCTTCTGGTCTTAAGCTGCGGATCAGACTACATCTCACAATGCATCAAGTTGGGTGCATCTATTGATATACTTTCAAAAAGAAGAGATTTGCACATTCCTCTGGCAATGATGAGAGCAGCGGAGATACTTGTCAAGTGTGTAAGTTGTTTTATTCTCATCTTTCACGAGACAAAGAGCTCCCTTAATGGACTTGTGACCTTGAAGAGAAGCTAACTTGACGAGAAACACATCAGAAACAGCACGAGAACTTCAAACGTATCTTTGGCTCACATTTCTTCTTTTTCATTTTAGCCATTCTATTTTTAGAAAAGTCTGAAAAAACCATATTTTTTTCTTTCACGTAATGGTTGGTATTCTACACAATTAATACACTTAAACTCTATTTCACCTTTTTTAATTTAATTATTATCCACATATATTTATAATAGCGCTAATACTTCATCCAACAATCTTCAGGTCCTTCTTCGGTTGTAGAATTGTGTAGAATCAACACTTATGCGTAACACACCATAGATAACGAGGTACAGAGACTCATCAAATGTATAATTTAATTTGGACTGTGTCAAAGAATGGCCACTTTATGTCGTAGGCAATTAATTATTTCGCAGGCGCCGAATGTTGCCGCTTGCCGTACTTTCACAGACTGTCACAAGGAGTATGAAATACAAGTGAATTAAATATATAATAAACTACACAAAGATCGTTAATAACTTATGTTTAAGTTAGAAAATTTTTTAGCCATCTTCACAATTAATGCAAATCTGTATATATGTTGTCAGTATTTATGTTCATGTAAATATATTGAGGATAAAATATATTTAAAATATATTTTATATATTTTATTTAATATATTAAATATATTTTAAATATATATAAGATATATATTACATATATTAAATATATTTTAAAATATATTTAATATATGTAATATATATCTTAGACCTATATTTATATGTATAAGATATATATTACATATATGTAATTATATATGTGTAATGTTATACATATATTTAAAATATATTTTAAATATATGTATAACATCACACATATATAATTGTTAAAAAATCTCATTTATACATTATACTCTACCTTTCTTGTAATCGGTGTTATGTTCTGCAATTTGTTGAGTAATTCTGAATCAGTCACTTCGATAGCTTCTTTCATGCAATCATCCGTCAAAGAAGTACTCGCAACTTTACGAAAAGATTTTCTTCGTTCCGACAATTTTTCATCGGTCTTATTGTCGCTTTTCTTTTCTTCTGGTTTATTCACACTCGGCTGATCATGATAAATAAGCGTGTTGCCAGCCAGCATATTTTTCAATTCAATAATCTTTTTGTTAATATTGGAGATGAGTTTATCACGAGCATAGTTGGCTGCAAACTGAAAAAAATAACAAAAATTAAATTATACTTTTTTAAAATATTTTGGTTTAAAAGAGTGACTTTAGAATTTTTATTTTTTTTTTAGATACTGATAAAAACTATATTTCTAATTAAAAATTTTTTCATAATACAAAATTTGTTCCTAAGAATTATTATTTTAAAAAATCAATAAAAGTCGCTTATAAGAGAGAATATCCTCCTTCAATAAGCGTCGCTTATCTCCTTAGCACTCAGACAAGCATTAAAGGCTTTCGAGAAATTTAAAAAAAAACCTCAGGTAGTAAGCATATGTCATTTTGACGTCAAAATGACGTCAGTTTGTTATTTAGATAATATTACACTGATTGTATGTCAAAAATTGTTAACTTTCGAACCTTCATAACTCAAAAAGTACTTAATTAAAAAATACTTTATTATAGAGTTTTTGAAAGCTCTTAAGATATGCTACAAAATATGTAATGAAAAATAGGTGATTCCATATAAGAAATTGAAGGTGACTTTTACGTGACCTTCAAGCAAGGTCAAACTAACGGCACCATCTTATGTCTCCCTCGAAGTCAAAAAACTTTTGTTGAAAAATTTTCTTCTACAATCAAAAATAAAAAAGTTATTTGAGGTATGACATTAAAATGGGACACCTTCGAATCCTTAATGAATTTTTATTACATTCTTATATTTTATCCTCTTATTTATAAATATCTTATAATATTTCAAAAAATGCAATATTAAAATAATATTAAAAAATTATAAATCTAAGTGAAATTAATACCTCCCCACCATGGCCATCGAACACTGCAAACAAAGAAACTCCAGTATTATTTATGTCTTCATTCACCACAAAACGATCTTCCATCCGAGCTCTGTGTCCTTGCACAGCATATGCTGCAATATGATTTTGTTTTAATTCCCAACTAAGTTTTACCGCATTATCCACTGAATCATTAACTAAGAATTTCAGCTTGGACGCCTGCGTAAAGGGATATATAATATAGAAAAAGAAGAGAAAATATATACATATATATATATATATATACATAAGCAGTGAATAATATATTTATTTATTTATTGTAGTAAATAATATATTTTTATAATGCACATTTGGGGCATTATTTATAAAGTGATCCATTCAAATTTTCAAAGTTCTCCAATCACGCTAAAATTTATAGAAAGTGTAGTCCTATCAACAGTAAAATTATTTTTCAAGTTTATTTGGCCCACGTACTACGGGTTCTTTATTAACAGGAATTTGAATTTTTATCATTTGGGCCGTTACGTCCAACTTCAAACGTTGATAAATTTCAGAAAACTACTCCGATTTTAAAAAATAAAGTGTGATTTCGAAAAGTCTTTTTACATACTTTAATCCTGTAAAATTAGTTTTTTCTTTCAATAGCAATTTAGATAAGATTTTCAAAAATAAAGTAAAAATCAATTTTTTTCAAATTTAGACATCTTCGATTTTTTTCAAAAAAATCTTTAAAAAAGTATAAATCTTCCCCTTTAAAACGCTTCCAGGACCAAGATGGGCAGACTTTTAGTTTTCAAGATGTAATCCATTTTAGAACCAAGCGCGTCATTTACGATACAGTTCAGGCGCTGTTACTGCAGAAAGATATCTGGCCAGTTCTATTGCTTGTGGTCAGGCGTGGTGACTTCTCATATATTATATATATATATATATGTATGTATATATATATAAAAAAATTTTATATATGTATTTTATATTATATATATTTTATATATGTATATTAAAAAAATTTTTCATTAAACTGCAGTGTGTCAAACATATGCAATTTTAAAGAACAAATCATTATTTTTAGATGTAGCACCAAATGAGGAAGATAGAAAAATTTTTTATAATCACCGATAGCGCGTTAAAGTTAACATTTCGAGCTTTAAAATACTTTTTTAATCTTTTGTCTACGATGATTTTTCACCGAGTTACGACATAATCTCTAAAAAATATAGGATTTGCTTCAAAATCGTCTAAGTCAATCAAAAAAATCGTAGGAAACTTTTTAAAAAAGCGTCTTGTAGGAAAAATGTACTTTCTAAAACGTTAGTTGAATTTTTCGAAAGAAACTTTTTTTATCGAGTTTCAAGTTGTTAAAGATACATAATTTTAATAAACAAAACAGTATGTTCGTTTCTAAAGCATACAATAAGGAAGATTAACAAAATTTAAAAATACATCGACTGTGCGTTAAAGTTGAAACTTCGAGCTTTAAAACGGTTTTTTAATATTTGTCTTCCGATGATTTTTCGCCGAGTTTTAACAGTTTGAAAATGGCCTAATTTTTAAGGTTTAAAAAGTGTTCCCTATTTTTTTTACTAGTCTATATGTACATGTGTATATATATATATATATATATATATAGATATATATATATATATATATATATATATATATATATATATATATATATATGAGAAGTCATCACGCCTGGCCACAAGCAAAAGAACTGACCAGATATCTTTCTGTATTTGTAACAGCGCCCTACTATATCGTAAATGACGCGTTTGGTTCTACAATGGATTATATCTTAAAAACTAAAAGCCTGCCCATCTTGGTCCTGGAAGCGTTTTAAAGGGGAATATTTCTACTTCTTTAAAGATTTTTTTTTTTTTTAAGAAAATCAATGTCTAAATTTGAGAAAAAATTGATTTTTACTTTGTTTTTTGCAAATCTTATCTAAAATATTATTATTAAAAGAAAAAACTAATTTTACAGGATTAAAGTACGTAAAAAGACCTTTCGAAACCACACCTTACTTTTTAAAATCGAAGTAATTTTCTGAAATTTATCAACGTTTGAAATTGGACATAACGGCCCAAATGATGAAAATTCAAGTCCCTGTTAACAAAAAACCCGTAGGACATGGACCAAACAACTTGAGGAATAATTTTACTTTTGATAAGGCTACACTTTTTGCAAATTTCAGCGTGATTGGAAAACTTTGAAAATTTAGGTGAATCACTTCATAAATAATGCCCCATTTATATACCTTGGTGGTACGTCCCAGAGTGTATTGAATTTTTCCTAGAACTCCTTTAGCCCAGATATCCAAAGCTTGTATATAAAACAAAATTATTGCCAGAATTATACCACAAACAAGTACTTCTGGTTTCAAATAGATTCGCATATTTCTATAGAGGTAACTTAAAGGATTGCAAATTCCAGCATTTAATCCAGCGGGAATGCTCACAGCAAACTTGGACACAAGCTTCATATGTGATATATAAGTCTGTGAAAATGATAAACAACTTAGATTTTTTTAGTAGCTTAAATAAATAATTTAATATTGAAAAGAACCACACTTTTTCTTTTATAGAATAGATCTAAAAATTGATAATATAGATATATGTATTTGTTTATATAAATAAAATCTACTATATAATAAATAAATCTACTATATATATATATATATATATATATATATATATATATATAGGATATTTCTTAAATAAACACAACTTTCTAAGATGTCTACAAACGTACTAGTAAAGATTTCAGTAAAATCGATCGTCGTTGTTTTTACATTAAATTAGAATATAAAAAGTGAAAGACGTATTTTTTTACGACGCGCACGTTCTTTTTTATTGCCCGATTTGTAGATGTTGCAACATGATGGCATGTTCAGGAAAATTTAAGTTATCTACCAGTGAGATTTTTTCAAATCGGTTCAGTAGGTTCTGAGATTACTCCAAACAATGGAACAAACTTTATCTTTTTATATGTATATATTAAAATATTAAATATTAAATATTATAGATAATAATCCTTAAAGTTCACCAGTAATAATTAATAAAAATCTTTCTTCAATGGTAAAAGTCGACCAAACTGGCAATCATTTATTATAAATAATTAGTTAAAATACAACGTTTCGGCTGTCATTGCAGCCCTTTTCAAGTAAATCTATAAAAAGTTACATAAAAATAATTATAATTTTAATACATTTCATCGCAACAAATAATTATAAATTCATATACAAAAATATGTTATATACCAAACGTAAATGCATAATAAATTAATACAGTAAATCAAATTCACTGCATACCACCGACAATATTCACCATTGTTTTAATAATAAACAATGTAGAATTGACAGAAGTAAGCAAGAAATAAATAGATGTTAACAGTTAGCAAGAACTTAGTCACTACGCGTTAAGAAAATTGAGACAAAACTAATGTGTCTTTCGCAATCTAAAACCTCATAACAAAGTCAAATAAAAATAAATAAGTAGGTAAAAATAAAGATAATTTAAATAGCGTCAAGAACACGATCATAAATCTCAATAAAATTCTCCGTATCTTTCTGTAAATTAATGCCTTTACTTTGTTTTTTTATATAAAACATTTCTGCAATTTCTCTTTTTCTTGTTTGTTTTTCTTGATGCAAGCTGCAAGATCATCGGAGAATCCCAACGGAACTCATGATCGTTGCAAGTCCGATGCAAACTAACGACTGAATGCAATGTAGTGTCTTTTTTTATATTATTTCTATGTTCTTTGATGCGCGTTTCTAAATGTCTCTTTGTCTATCCAATATACGTAGAATCACAATTCGCACATTCAATTTTATACACGACATCAGTTCTTTTTAAGTTGTCTATCCTATCTTTTCCTCTTTTTATCAGTGTCTAATTTTTTTGGAAGAGTTATTGTATATAATTGAAATTCGGCTAATTAAAATTAAGTACACTCGCGGAGCGAATATCAAATATCATATACGAGTATCATATGCGTGTATCAAATTTAAATAAAATATTTTTACACGTTTTCGAGACTTTCAAAATTTTCATTTTTTCACAATTTTGACACATTTTTTTTGAAAACGAAACAATTTAAGACATATAACATATGTTTATATGACCTCTTTTTCACAAAATAAGCCAAGGAATATCCCCTTCAATTTTTGCACTTAGAAAACATCCTGTATATATATCATTTTATCAATTTTCATATTACTAATTTAAATCGAATAAAACTTTAATAATAATAATACATTTGATTTATTAAAGTATTATTTATATCAACATGTTTTTATTAAAAACATGTTGATACATCATCTCTTATTATTAGAGCCTATTTTAATTTAAAAAATAATTATTGACTTCTGTTATTCACATTTTGTTATTCACTGTCAATACTGGAAATCTATAGTTCACGTTAAATAATACAGTAAGAATCTGCGTATAAATAGAAAAAATATTAGAAATATGGAAATATATTAAATATTAAATATTCTACAAATATTAATAATATATGAGCATGAATATAAAAGAGAAAATGATTTCTTATATAAAATTATATTATTCATAAATAATTTAATTTTTATGAAATACACTAGTTTACAAAAAAACATTCTTAAAAGAGAACTTAAAAAATTAATTAATTAATTTTGAAGTTTAAAAGTATTTTCTATTTATCTTTGTAAAGACTACTGTAACCGAAAAATGTTTTAAAACTTAAATACTTAAATAAATATCTTAACATTATTAATAAACGCTATTCTCAAATTAAAAATTTTCTTAAATTGTTTCTTAATTAAAAATAGAAAATTTTTTTCTAAAAGATTATTATTTCTGATTGATCATTTTGATATAACGAAAAGAAAGATCTGCATTTTAACTCTTGACCTCTCAAATAACAAACTGACATCATTAAACGATGTCGTCATTTTGACGTTTAATGACGTTTGCTACCTGGAATAAGTTGAAAATTATCTAAATTATCTCTTTGTAAATTCAGAAGGATTTCTGTGTCTATTTCTCTAAAATTTATATTTATTCTTTAATAAAAGTAAACTTACTAAACATTGAAAAATTAAATATGATAATAAAAATGTTCTAAAAATTAAATATGATCATAAAAATGGTGAGATTAGAGATTTTCTTAGCCTGTACTTGATTGGCAACGTCTAAATTCATATGTTTAAATTTGTAAGCTAAATATAACATATTTAACATAAATATTTTTAGTTACACGATTGCATAATATTTATATTTATATTTTATTTTTATTGTGAATTTAATAATCTTTTTAATTTTTAATTCTTAGTCTTAATATTTAATAAATATATATATTTCTAATTTTTTTTCTATTGTGTGCAACACCTAATTATAAATTTCCAATATTGACAATGAATAATGAAACGCAGCCTTGAAGCAACATAACCTTAAAAACAAATAATTTTAAACGCATAACTAAGATAATTAATAAAACAGAATTTAGAATAATTAAAATATAATTTTATTTTTTATAAAATTTTAGTTAAACTAAAAAAAACAACGTACTATGTAGCATAAAAATCGATAAAATTTTTAACTAAAAATATTTAAATTTTTTTAAACTTATTTTTATGTAATATATTAGAGTTCTTCACCTGATATAAAATTAGATCTTCGAGCTCGTCGTCCATAATATTTTGATGAATTCTAAATGATTATTGTATTACTATGTTACCTCTATATCATGTATATCGAATACTTTGCACGATTTGCTTCCCCGTTTTGATATTGATATCAGAGCCGGATTAGTGATATAAAGGTCTATTCACATCGTCATAAGCAAGTCAGGGTTTGTGCACAATAAAGAGAAAATATTAGAAATAAAATTAAATTTTTAATATTAAGTATAAAAATGAGTTTTTATAAAAAATCAAATTATTTATTATTTAATAATTAATATTATATAATATTATTTAATAATTTTATTTTTTACAAAAACTTATTCCTAATAATATATATATAATTTTATATTAATATAAATATATATATAAATATATAAAATTATATAAATATATATTTTAGACAACTTTTTTATTTCTAATTAAAAAAAATTTTTTTAATCTTTCCAAATCATTCCAGATCATTTTTATTAATGATGCTATATATTTTCTTTTTAATTCATATTACAATAATCTTTATAAAAAAAACTAGAGAATATTTGTTAGACTTTCAAAATTAAATATTGTTTTTTAATTTTCTCTTTTTTTTTTTTTTTTAATAAACTAGTTTTTGTAAATTATTTATTGAATAATATATATATTTCATAAGAAATATTTTTCTTCTTTTATATTTTCATGTTTATGTCGTTCTTCACTGTAATATATTAATATTTCTTATATGGACTTAATTTTCTTATATTTTAATTATATTTAAAATTATTAATCTTATATTTAACATATTCCTTTTATCTTTTCCACTTATTTGAGATTATAACCTTAAGCTATGGAAAAAACTGAATTCTACAAATTCCAGAATGAAGGATTTCTATGTCTTATATAAAAAGTTTTATTATAAACTCACATCCATTGCTTTAATTACAATCGATTAAAATATTTAATATTTTTTTGTAAATTAATTATTTATTACATACTTCTTTTGCTGATGCAAAAGAATCGAAGCTGATAATTCGAGATTTTCTCATCTTATTTTTGTTTTAATACATGCATACAGAATTTATAGAAATTTAGCTAGATAATTTTATCGATTATAGCATATATATTTTTATTGTTTGCAAAATTGTCCAAATTTAATCGATGTTAATGATTTAATGTATAAAGGCTTGAATATCAACCAATTATGCAAACATGTTACAAAATACTATTTTAGATATTTCATTAAAAAGAAAGATATTTATATATACATGCAAATATGTACGTATAGCAAGAATTTTCATGTAATCACAAAGTTTCATAACAAAATAAACATACATTCGAAAGAAATAGATTCACTTAATATTCTATATGTGACATAATATATCAAGTAAAATATGTGCTTCCATCACAAACCAAAACTGCATAAATGAAAATTGTAACTTATTTCTTATATTTATACCTTATTTTTCTTGCCATAAAAACAATTCATATTTATCTACATGTTGCAATAAAACTTTATTTCTAATTGTCCTATGTCCCTTAAGTTTTAATCAATAGATGGTTTTGTCCGTCTACGATGATGATTTCGTGCTAGTGCATGAATAATCGTCACCAAGAAGTAACAAACCATTACTGTAACAAATTTATCGAACAGCCATGATATTGTAGTTGTTCCATCCTGCAAAAATATGTTTATTTATAGATTGGTCTCAACAACAAATATTGCTTATTAAGGTTCCTGGTTCCTTGTCTTTGATATCACAATCTAACATGAGGATCCAGAAACCATAATTTATTTAAAGCTGACTTACCATAGACGATTTAACATGTAGCTTTTGTTTCTGCTCAACAAAATATCTTTTTAATGGTTCTTGGAATTTTCTACCAACAAATGGTATGACCGCTAATAAGCTAATAAATTTATCTAAAAGTTCCTCATTGAACGTAATTATTACTGCTAATTGTTGTATATGCATTTTGATGACAGCTTTTCCTATCAATGTCGCACCAAAAAACGTCCAGAATGGAATGAGATAATGTCCACACGTCAAACCAGCCAAGTCAAACAGTGGATTAGGAATCTGTAAAAATTTTTCTTGTGACAAACGCAATATAAAAAAAATAAATCATATTACATGACTTTGGATTGGCAAATTGGACTGAATAAAGAATAAATCTTGTCAAAAATTAAACAAAAAATGGATACTCACCGATGCACAAGCTAATATGCCCCAGAACCCAGCCTTCTCGACAAAGTGCTTCATAGATAACTTGATACGCATTACAAGAGATACATTTTCCTCATTTTCAAACTCCTCCAAAGCTTCCAATTCTTTTAGATCTTGGTTTTTATTTTTACTGTTTTGTCCACTTATCCTTGCAGCTCTAGCCATAAAGTATGGCGGTAACTCGCCTAGTGCGGTACCAGCTCCCCATAACATGGCTTCCACACGTACTTTTTTCATAATATTTAAAATACCTACTGCCCACACTGGGTCAATTTTCGTTGGACACACTATTTGGTCAGGATATGGTGGTTCAGGAAAATTCAGAGCACCACATTCGTATGCTGCCATAGTGACAGCCGCTATATGTGGCCCTAAGTATAACACAAAGGTATGCAAACCCGTTCCAAGACCTACACTTGATAATACACCTAGCCCTACCCAATACAACCACCACAAAATCTTGGCCTCCCATAACTTGAAAATCTGGAAATAAAACAAAAATTATTTTATAGCAAGATAAAATTTTTACACATGCTTATACATTATACATATACATAATTTCATTTAAAATGTTACAAAATCTTTTCTTGGAAACTTAAAAATGACAAAAAAATTCTCCTTTTGGTATTTCAGTTTTGACTAAAATCTACTAAATGATAAAGTATATTATATCTCAAAAATCACGATTTATATATATTTATATATATTTTATATATTTTATTATTTATTTTATAATTTTATATATTTTTAACCTTAATTTAATTATAAATAAATTATAATTATGAGAAATAAAATTTCCATAGTTAACTACAACTTTTGTTTAGATACAAAAAAAAAACTGAAAAATTCAATTCTCTAAAAAAATTGGATTTTAATTTGTGAAGCTTAATTATGAAAGTATATTAAAAATATTAATAAAGGACACATATATTGAAGTTTGAGAAAAAAGGGAGATGATTAATAATGATCTCTCTTTTAATACTTCATTAAGTCTTCAAATGGATTAAAAAAAAATATACTTAAAAAAACATATCTAATAGTTCAACGTACCTCTTGTTGCGGGCCAGATAATCGGGCTGACAGAAGAAATAGTATTACAATGGAAATTATAGTAAATACAGTTCGTTTGTACAGCAATGTTTTCTTCACTAAAGTAAGTAGATTAATGAACACTTCGCTAAAGAAATAATGTAATGTAGTAATTGGATGTTGCCAGAGCGTTAAATGATCTGGATCCAGATTCTGGAGCAAAACATTATCTGGATGACTCGAACTGCGTTCCATCAGAGTGGATACGTCCTTTCTACCTTTCTGAGCACCATTGATAGGAGCTTGATCCTTTGGACGTTGAATGGCAGTAGAATTACCCAACATGATATTTCATAAACAATTATCTGTAAATAAAATTGAAAGTAAAAGATTAGAATATAATATAATATATTATAATACACATAAGTTACTGATTATTTTTCTTAAAATTATCAAATTTATATTACTTTTCAGCAAAGTAATCTAATGTAATCTAGTTAATAATCTAATTAATAGCAAATATATATATATATATATATATATAATATTTAAAATTACAAAATATATAAATTTTTTAATATAAAACTAAGTGTAAATATTGCAATGCATTAAAAAATATTCAGATCTGTGTTTTATTAAAATCTAAACATATTGACTTATGATATTCACATAAAGCACATCATAAGGCTTTCTTTACAAATATTATAAACACTATCTTTTAATCTTATTCCACTACAAATACAAAAAATTATATATATAATAACCTGTAAGAAAGTTAATATTTAGTCTATTATTTCTTTCAATATAATTCATATAAATTCATTATTCTTTATCATAATTATTGCTGCTAGAATAAAATAAAAAGTTCATCAAATAACTAAAAATATAAAAAATAAAATTTTTTTATTAAATTTTGCTATAAATAATATTTTTTGATATCATGCATCAACCGTTAAGTGATATTGTTTACGACAAATATAAATGTATTAATAAAGTACTTACGACATCTTTTTATAATACTTAATTTAATACTTACTCCATAAGATAAAAATTACAAATAATATAAGCTTCTGCTAATGTATATACAAAATAAAAAATAAAACATTTGAATTAAAAAAATATCTAAATATTTCTCAATATAAATAAATCCTTATTTAGGTTATACGTTCTTTTCATAAATATGATAAATTATTCAAAATTAGTTTCTCTTTTTAAATGTATCAGTTAATATGCTAAAACAAAAGATTTATGTAAATTTCATCAATTAATATTCATATAACAAACAAATATTGCAAGACATTTAATACAAACAGCCTAAAATAGTTCAATACAAAATTTCATAACAATATATTAATGGAAAGAATATTTTAGCAGTAATTTTCTTCATTAAAATGTCTATGTATCCATGTATTTTTAATTTCCATTTTTATTTACCTACTACATATAAGTTATTTTGCTATGTTCATGCTAACCAAAAATCATAGATATAAAAAATCACACTTAGAAGTGCTCAAACTCAATATATATATATATATATATATATATATATTCTAATATTGTTAATTAACTATCTTTAATTAACTATAAAATAATTGTGCTAAATCGAAAAATATTTTTCAAAGAAATGTTTATAAGAAAAAAATGGAGATGTAGGTGTCGAATTTTTTTAATTATGCTCCCAAAATTTCACCTGTTCTTTTTTTTGCAATTATTTTTTATCATGAAAGACGTATAACAAATATATTATTATATAAAAAGATATATTTTATATAAATGCATTACCTCTTCAATCTTAGTTCTATTTTAATTTTGATATATAGATATATCATGAAAGATGTAAAATTTTTTCCCTATATCATCGTGGCATAAACAATAATTTTTTTACAAAATTCTGAAAAATTGTTATAACCTTTCCATACGCTGCTTGGTATCGTGGCACGATTAATTAAACTGTCAATTCACTCGTGACGTATCACTGCTTATCATGCACACATACACTTGTATATACATATTATATATATATGTATAATATGTATGTGTGTATGTATGTAAGTGTGTGTGTATGCGTGTGTGAAGATATATATATATAAAATACATATATGAGATATCTCTCTATATATATATGGAGATATCTCATATATATATATATATATATATATATATATATATATATATAATAAATGTTTGTATATAGATATTTCGCGTGGAAATAATATTAAAATATATTATAAGAGAAATATATCCATTAGTCTTATTTTCAATACGAATTTCTGTTTATTTTTTTATTTTTTTATTTTTTTTAAATAATATCACATTATCGTTAGTCTTCCTTTCTGTATTCATTTTTTCTTTTTTTTTTTTTTAAGCGGGGAGCACACACTCTTGCATAAGCGCATAGGCATATATGCATAAGAAATTCGATTGGTTGAATTTCTTATGCATACGTTTATAGACCAATCAAGATTCTCATGTTTACGCTTATGCGCCTATGCAAAAGTGTGTGCTTCCCGCTTTATTGCTAAAAACGCGGTCCGATATGCGCTACCAAATGCTCTGACCGCTACACTTCAAGTACCAAAACATACGGTCACGGTCCACAAACGCTATAGATGCTGCAGTTACTAAGCAATTGGACCACAGGGCACCAGGGAGTCGATTGTGTATCTCAAAACCTAGTGAAAATGACAAAAGTGAGCATTCACTTGATTGGCTAATTTTAACTATAGTGAAAACACGAAATATTTCACGTGAGATTATTCGACAAGAAATATTGTGTCAAATAATGTCAAAATGTGTCGAATATTCTACTGCATTATACGTTATGTAGAGTAGAGCGCGATTAAAATACGGTTAAAATTTAAACAATAAAAATTAAAATAGACATTATTGTTATATTGTTACGTTTTGTTATATTGTTACTTTTGTTTCTCTATGCCTAATTCCAAAAAAACACGGGTTTCTTGTTCTCCCCAAGTTTGATCTTTTTTTGATATTTTCACAAACTTTGGAATACGTAAAATTTCTAATTTTTAATACACCAGCGTTTACAGCACTACATGTGTATTTAATACACGTACTAATTTGATACGATACGCTTTCTTGAGGGTGCCGTTACATGAGGCGCAACTTGCGTTAAGCGTAACCTGCGGTAATTTACGCCGACCAATCACATCGTTTCATTTCAGTATCAACTTCTGTCTAGTTATTTTATGCTTTGTACGCTATTATCGTTACGCCGAATTCAATTTCTGGCGGAAGAAACGCTGATGCGTATTTGTAAAAAAAAACACAACTCCATTTGTGCGTTCTTCTGCCAAAGACTAAAGACAAAGAAGAAGTTAATTTTAATCCATCCATACCTATACATTAATAAGATGAACAAGAATAATCAAATAAGGATAAGTTAACAAAAATCTAATTTATTATATAAGCTTTAATAGCGTTCGATTAAAAACAGTCTACTGCTCACGACATGTGATACAAAATTTCAAGTTTAAATTGTATATTAGTAGGTCTTCGTACTTTTTGCATATGAAATCTGTTTTCTCTTTCTCTAATATTTAACATATATTGATTTCTTGTTTTACATGCATGAATTTTTGAGAATTTTTAGCAATATGAACATCATAATGCATTATTTTCTACATTGCATGTTTGAATCTTTTCAGCACAAATGCGGGTATTGTGGATGGCTGTTCCAATTTTCTACTAATTTTGTCGAGCATGAATGCTTCAAGCATTATGTGGAAGATAAGGATCGCATCGTTGTATATAAAAATTTTGTCGTGACAATATGTCATAACATATGTTTACTACATTTTTTACATATATTTTGTTGTATCATTTTATTGTATTATAGTAATTAAATATATTTATTTATTTAATAATCCAAGAGAATGCAAAGACTGCGGAAGGTTCTACAGATACTTTGGATGAACTCTTGATCGAAGCAGTGAGGGCTCTCGTCTTCTACATATTTCGTTTATCTTGTCACTTTGCCAGCCATTTTAAATATGCGCGTTTTACGGAACCCAAAACATCGGTTCCCCATGAAGTGTATTATTCGGGACGCGTAGGTTACGAAAACCAATCACAAGTCCTATTTAGCATTTCTGTTAAAGCATACAACGGAAACTCTAATCTACGATTGGTTGTATTAGTTACACGTTCCGCGCAATACGCCCTATGTGAATGCCGTCCTTCAGAATAGCGTAACCACTGCGTATCTTTTATTAAATTACTAGATTACATTAGAATACGCAGATTACGCTTAACGCAAGTTACGCCTCATGCTTGCTACTCCTGTTATAGATCTGGCCTTAGTTCTTTATATCCGCATTTATATTTTTAATTAGAATTTTTTTGATTTTATTATTTTAAAATAATTTAATTCTTATTTAATATTTATTTATATAATTTTTATATTTAATATTATAATTTATAATTTAAATTTATATTTAATATTTATTTATATAATTTATATTTATTTATATAATTTATATATTTAATATTTATTTATATAAATTATATTTTATATTTATTTATATAATTTATATTTAATATTTATTTATATAATTTATATTTAATATTTATTTATATAATGTAATTCTTATTTAATATATTCGTGTATTCGCTTGTCTATTGATTAAAACAAAATTTAGTATTATATATAAAAAGACTAACTAATCGAGCATTATTTAGATGATAGAAACTAAGTATTTATTTTATATAATACAGTACAAACGTTTCGACCGCACGCGGTCTTCTTCAGTATAAGAATTAAAAGTAGATGATCATAAGTGATTGTAAGTCGCAATTTTATTGCCAAATTAGTGCATGTCGTGTTAAGTCAAATTACAAAACGTCAGTATATTTCTTACGGATTGATCGCTTTATTGAGATGTTTGGCCGATCTCATAGATTTCAACGTTAGTATGCGAGAAATTATTGTTGTCATAACGCACTGTGAGTAGTGAGATATAATAAATTGATAATGTGTCAAAATATAAAAATTGGTCTTACGTGATCTGTGCGCTTACTTGTAATGTTTGTTGCCCTCCAACTAGACCGTACCAACGTAACATGCCCTCTTATTTCCAAATGTACTCATTTTGTAATTATGTGTGTTTATATAGTTTAAGTGTGTTTAGGATTTTAACGAACTATTTTTTTTGTGTGTTTTTTTATTATTATATGTTTGCTAGTTTTTCCAATATATCAAAATAAGATTCGCTAAGCAACTCGGTATCTCTATTTAGGTTTAACCCTTTTTTGTTCCTTAATGTGTAACATCTCGGAAATGAATCTTTTATGATAATTAGTTTCACTGTCTAAAATTTTAACGTTGTCCCAATCAAAAGAATGATGTTCATTTGATATGTGATCAGAGATCTCTAAAGAGAAATTGGTTATTATAAATTACGGTCTAGTGATTCTCTTTTGCCAAAAGCTTACGGATTACCTAAGATTCACAAAGAAAACACTTCTTTTAGAATCATTGTCTCATCAATTGATACTGCGTTATATGCGTTTGCCTCGTTTATGCATAAAATTTTTTAACTAGCATCCCTAGAGTTAAGAGTTATATTAACAATAGCTTTGATTTGTACAGCTTGCTTTTTGGCAAAAGGATTAATAACAACGAGTTATTGTTCTCGTTAGATGTGGTCTCACTCTTTACTAACGTGCTTCTTAATCTCGCAATTAAGGGTCGACAGGCGACATGGTGGAGACGCCTATCGGCCGGCCGGGAATTACGGATTCGTTCATCCCATATATTAGCCAAAATACTTAATGAATCTTATTAAATTTACGATATTCTTAATCAGTAGGATTGTCCGCAGGGAGACAAAGATCGATTTTTTGGAAAAAAGATAAATATAAAATTCATAATATAACTTGGGGAGATGCGCAGCTAGCAGCGGGTAAGGTTGGGTTAGCCACGAGATCGTATTTAATTTATTATAAATTTTTAAGAGCAATAATGCAAAATTTGACTCTTTGTCTCCCTGCTTTATTATATAAAGAATATATTAAAAAATATTTCACGAAGCTACGTAACTTCTTTTTATGTAATATTTGGGATGAACAAATCTCACTAGATCTATACTCATGGGGAAATTTTCGTGGTAACATACTGACAGCTTGACAAGGAGAGAGTATCATTCTATCTTTGTCTCTCTTGCATTTGATATGTGTAAAATCAGTATAAATACAAAAACCAATATATTACGCACACGAATGAGAAATATTTTACATCTGCTCATTATATATAAAAATATAAAAGTAATGCAAATTAAATTTCACATTTATTTATAATAGTATTGTGAGGTAGTAACACATATGGAAATCTTATAAGATAAATGCTGTACATCGATTAGCGTAATATTATGATTACAAGTCGCAATAAATGATTTTGCTAATATATTATTTTGAATAAAAATTTTATAAAAACAAATAAAAATAAAATGAATAAATTTTATTCATTCTTTGTTTTTTTCTATTATTTTTTCTATTATTTGAATAAAAGGCGTATCGTATGTAATAGATAAATAATAATTTAATATATGTATATATTGAAATTATATATATATATATATATATATATATATATATAAATTTCAAAACGTATAATTATATATTTATATAAATTATCTATCTATTTAATCTATTACACATGATACATCTTTTATTCAAATAATAGAAAAAATAATTAATAGAAGAAGAAAACAAAGAATGAAGAAAATTTATTAATTTCATTCTTTTTGTTTTTATATTTTTTTAATTTTTATTCAAAATAATATATTAGCAAAATCATTTATTGACTTGTGATCATATTATGCTAATCGATGTACAGAATTCATCTTATATGATTTTCATGTATTAACTACCTCATAATACTAGTATAAATTAATGTAAAATTTAATTTCCATTACTTTTATATTTTTATATGGGATGAGCAAATGTAAAATATTTCTTATCCGTGTGCGTAATTTATATTAA